TCCCAAACACATTTTTCGATAAAATAATATTACACGTAAGTTTGAAACATTTCCTATTTTTTAACTACACACTCTCCATTAGTCTACTATTTCAAAATACATTCATTTAAAATAATGTGGCTCAAAGGCATTGAGCCTCAAGAAATAGACCAGCCCTGACATTCATGTGAACCAAATCAAAGGCCTATTGGCTTATAATTACTTCAACTTGATATGATCCAACAACCCTTTTCAGTTTTCATATGTTTAAATATTAATGACATTCGCAGCAATAAAACCTTTCATTAATTTGTGATTCCCTTTTCTGTCCTTAATTAAACAAATAAAGACATTGCATTTTCGAATATACTTTTGGTCGTAATTTAATTAATAACACAAAACCAAGACACTTGACTGATACTGTATATAATTACAATATTTTTGCTTAATTAATTATACTTTGATATTTTTTAATTAGGAATTCCTGTTACACTTTGTTTTGACTTACTTAATTCAATGTACTTACTAATTAATAAACTAATTATACTTAAGAAAACAAGATGCCAAGGCAATGAGACTTAGCAGTTGGTTCTGAGTGCTTCCGCCAGTTTGTCTTCCACTTTGTCATATATATGTTAATTAAAAGAGATTAATGTATTAGATAGTGATTATAAGTAATTTTCAATTTCTAAGTGCGGCATTTCTTCACCTTTTTATCGATCAAATGATCTGTTTGAACTTAAGTTAATTAGTAGTTTATTTAAGTTGAAAACTATGAGCAATTCCATCAAAGTCTTCGAAGATTTTGGTAAAAAGTTTCTTTAAAATTCTCAAATTTTGTCAAGAAAAGGTTTTCCTAGATTTCCTAGGGACTTTAGATTTTTGAAACTTGTCACAATGGAAACGCTAGTCTTTTAAAAGTTTTGTGGACCTAGCTAATCGAATACCATTAATTTCGAATTATCTAAGGTGGTCTGTCAGATCATGTATGCACCATGTCATGTTATAATGTGAACTGCTACATAATTTTAATTTACTTCTCAAATTCTTCCTTCATAGCTCGAACTGAAAGAAAAATGTAAGACGATCCTACTGAGAATGTAGTGAGAATTGTATAATAGAACCAAATCGAGAATACCAAACTTTGATTATCATTTTTCTTTCGAGCATAAAGTGGAACTATTCATTAATCAAATCGCCATGAACAACTCGCTAAATAACAAAAATAAATTATCTTCTATTATAAATACTGGGGGTAACACTCAACTTTTAAAACCAAATTGTAAAAGGAGGATGTCAAATGGTCATAAGCGCACAAATCAAGGCCCTAAGTTTCTGCAATTCAAAGAAGAGCCACGTGAAGAAGTCACTTTGAACTAACTTTCTCCAAATCGATCTTCTAAACAAACAAAGAACTTTTAAAAATATATTCAAACCGGTTTAAAAATAGTTTCTTAATTTCAATATTTTTTCACTTTTCAATAGCTCTGATAAATGATTCCTTAGTGAAGTAAAACTTTATTAGAGATATTAGAATTCACCCATCATTTTAGAATTAACAAACCCCAATTCCCAACCCGGTGGGAAACATTCTTCTAGTAGAATTTAACTTCTTAGGTCGTTCTATCTGCAAATGAGTTCTTATAGTTGATTCATAAAAATAGGATATCCAAATTGCAGTAAGCATACAATTCAAGCCTCAACTTAATAACGCGTTGCCATTGTTTGGTGTCCATTAATTCATTAAAATGAGTTTTGTAATAGTGAATTGTTGGAGAAATGCGTAGGTAAAAATTAGTTGAAAATGAGTTTGAGAAAAAATAAAATTTTTAATAATAAGATGTTGTCTGAAATTCGACTAACACAATCAAAAGAAGAAATAAAATAAGCAGAAAAATAGACAGTAAATGAAGCGAGGTATGCCAATAAAGTAAGCAAATCTCTTTAAGACAGATTTCGCCCCCCAATGAAGTGCAAACGGGATTATGGACGTCTGTCTCCCAAGATACAACGCTCCTTCCAAAGTCGATACTGCACAATACCAACCTTGTCGGTCGAACCAATGAATGATCGTACTTGAACGAAATAACGACGGAAGTATAAGAGATTTTTTACGAGCAGAATATGGAGATAGAAGAATTTAGAAATCAATTGAATTCGTAATTGATTTGATGTGTCAAAAAACGAATCTGGGGGTCCCTATTTATAGAGATTGAAGTGTCTCATGGAACAGGTGTGTGACATTTCAGGAACTGGTGCACCACTTGGTCTGATTCGTCTTAGCCATTGGATCGCACTATTTTTATGATCTGACGGCCCAAGTGCGCCTCTAAAGCGCCCAATGCGTACTTTGCGACGTGCGCGTGCCGAAACCGGGACCGGGTCCGGGGAACGGTGCTAGTGGTGCGAAGCACCACTCTAGTGGTGACTAGCCTTTGGCTAGTTTGCTAGCCTTTGGCTAGCTAAAGTTAGCCAAGTGGTAAATAACATATTAAATTATATATTATTTACACAACACACTATAGAAACAAGACTATTTTCTTGTAAACTTTCGATGTGGGACTCCTTTCCATATAAAAACCACTTAAAATGGGCTTATCAACATATGGGCCTATTTTGGAGACTTTTCCAATTCACTCAAATTAATTGCAATGACTCATATCATTAAATATTACATTTAATATTTTAAACCCAAATTAAATTCAATTAATTCCAACATAAGAATCAATCAGGGACTTAGAATTGTTTCTTCTTTGTGCATAAGAAGCTTGACTACAATATTCACTCGTTTGAGTTGAGATGAAAGTCAACTTTAGTGATAGGCTCGGTGGGTGCGGGATCGAATTTTATGCACGATTTTTTGCACTAAGTTGTGAGTAAAATGGGTGAAGAAGACATAAGGGAGTGGTAGTGGACATAGCAGAATAAAAACCGGTGGAGGTAGATGATAGGTATATAAGAAAATATCATATACTTTTTTTTTTCCTGCTAAAAATAAGAAAGGTCCTAACTGTGCCTTTTTGTCAAAATACTACCAACTTGGATGTTTTCAATTGAAAGCTGAGCACTTTGTTATTGAAACCATCATTATTCTTGATCTTGGCATCAAAGTTGAAGTTGAAAGCCTTTCTAACCCATCACTTTGTGTTGTGTGATTTAATTATATAAAATTTTTGCTAGACCTAATTGTCATATAAAATGACGATATCGCTAGAATAAGTTAAAAGAAAGACGGGTAGACCTAACTCTTTTGAGCGACCTTTGAAAATGAATAAGTAGCTCCTCGACCAAAAATAAAGAAGCGAGGTGCTCGACGTCTATCTTTTGAAGTACAAATTTTTTCAGTACGGGATGAATTTTACACATTGCCTCTTGTTGGATAATATAGGATTCATCAAAACACTCGTAAGTAGAACAATAGGACAAGGTTCACCTAAATTATTGTGATTTTTAAGAATGTAGTTGACTTGTTATATGACTGAGTAGACATATAATGAACCGAACAGAATGACAAACATATTCATTGCCGTCATTTTCATCGTTGGCTTTCGGACTTATCCTAAAATTGCCTAGAATTCTTAATCATTCCTTTACTTATCTAACATCTTATTTTAATCTCTAAATACATTAGTTGATTTCCAGAAAGCAAAATCAATTAAATATCGAAGTGCTCTCACATTTTTATTATGGAGTAATGATTATCAAATCGCGTAATCTTTATCTTCAACTCATTTATAATGATGATAGTAATGTCAAAAAATTACTTCTCTTGAAGTCTCAATCTCATGTGTCAAAAAGACGAGAAAATTAACAAAATTTGATCTCAATCAAAATTGTTTATGTATTCAAGGGCTTCAAGCAGATTTGAACTCCATATTTGGGTTTTATTGTAAGAACAATAACTGGGGCATGGCGGTAATTATCTGAAACAGTGAAGGAGAATTTTGATATTAACATGGCTAGTATAATCTTGGCTTCCATAAGGGCAAAAGATTGGCCTATACAATTTCTTGGACCAGCAGCAAATGGGATGAAATGGCGTCCAGGGGCAAATGATTTTGATGCAAATCGATAAGGATTGAATTCATTTACATCTTTGCCCCATATTTCTTCACTGTGATGTATTGCAAGAACTGGAATCCAAATCGAAAGTCCCTTTGGGATGTGGAGATCCCCGAGTTTTATGTCGTCGAACGCCATCCGAGGTAGAACAGTTGCTGGCGGATATAGACGGAGTGATTCGTTGATCACCATATTCAACTGCGAAAAAGCAAGAAAAAATATTTTAGTCGTTTTGCAGTAGTTGGACGACGATCAAATAATTTACACCTATCAGATAGTGCCACTTAGACTAATGTTATAATACCAGTAATGTTACATAGTATTATTTAAAATATGAATTAATCTATCTTTCCACAAGAAATTGTCCAGAAATAGTGCAGAAGATGAGCTGGAGAAAAATGATTTGATGAAAAAGTTGATTGTGTTTTAAACTGTCCAATGATAGAAGTACCATGTGACATTATGTAAATCATTATGGAAGCGTTGATGTACATGTCGCAAGATTGTTAAATATTATCATCAAAATGTCAATGGCTACTTAAACAGCTAAAAATCACTCTAGTTTTCAGTGAATAAGGTTGTTGGAAACCCTTCCCGATTTTAAATCTATTGATTGACACCACTTAATGCAGGTCTCACTTCCAACGTATATATATTTCAAGCAGTAAAAATTACATTAGATTGGTCCGATTTGTCGGATTAACCAGTTGTGAAGGAGGCTAAAAAGGAAAAAGTTAAAATTGTCGGTCATCATGTATTGTACAAATACGATATGTTCGGGTAAAAAGTTCTTGGATTGGACTAACTTGAGCATCGGAGATGCGCGAAAATGAGATATATGTGTCCTCGTCCCATACATAATTAAGACCCTACCAAACCCGGGAAAAAAAAAAAATTAAAATTTTGGTCGAGTGAAAAATCTTACCAAAGGGAGCTTTAAGAGCTGATCAACCGTAGGTGAACCATCATTGTAGACCTGGCTCACCTCAGCACGAACTTTTTCTTGCCAAGAAGGATTGCTGGCAAGTAGCATAACTGTCCAAGTGAGTAATAAAGCTGTAGTTTCATGTCCAGCAAAAAAGAAAGTTTTGCATTCATCCATGATTAATTGTAGGTTTATGCTAAATCCATTGCCTGATTTCTTTTTTTGCATTTCATTTAGCAGCATCCCAAGTAAATCATTTCCATATGAACTTGTTCGACCGATTTCTATGCAATCTTTTCGACTTTGTATGATCTCCATTAGTAATCGTTCTACTTCCAGCTTTAGAGATTTTATGTCTCTATTGTATTTGCTTGGGAAAAACCTGCAGGAAAAATGTATAATTAACTATTGAAAATTATGGCTGTCAATTCCAAGAACAGAACTCTGTCTTTTTTTCAAACTCATTTTATGGCTGGGATTATGGAGTTTTATTGACTTGGACAGGTATGAACAATTAATAATTGGAGTCAGAGACAGAATTCAAAGCCTAAAATACTTTATTCCTTATTTACGAGAGCAATAAGAGACGAATACAAACAAAATAGACATAGAAAACGACTCTCTTAGAAATTCTTTTATATATAGTAGAAATATTAGAGATAAAAATGACCTACCGGCTTCCAGGAAAGCACAAATGCCGGCTTGCTTGTGCACATAGATGTTGCAGAAGTGTTAACAAATGGAATATTTTCTTTCCTTTTTCGTAATTGCTATCGAATTCAGTTCTTGAAATAATATCTGCGGTTAGACGAGTCATATGTTCTCCAATCTCAAACTCAGTTTGACCCTTTTTTATTGAATTTTCCAGCGATCGGAGCATCTGTTTAGTACATTCCACCATGTACCCTGCGTAGCTCTGCAGATAAACCAAAAACAATATTAATGCTTAATATTAATGTCCTTTAAATGAACCACCATCTTGTGAGGACATATGTGTATAGTGGCGGATCCAAGAATTCAGGTAAGCACGAGCGGATCCAGGTGAGCACAGGCAACAGCTAGAAAGCCACTCGAGCGATCATCAAGCAGCCGACCAATATAAGGAGAGAAAAAAAAAATTGGCGAAGACAGCACTGGCCACTATAGGGGCTCGTTGGGTGCTGGCTCCGCCCCTGTATATATACGTATGTGTACCTTTAGTTTGTCTCCCATGAATGCAGGTGCAATGATGTGTCTTTGATGGTACCAATCTTCACCATTGGCCATTAAAAGGCCTTTCCCAATAAAATGCTTGGAGCCCTGTTGCTGTAGCCATGATTTCCCAGAAATGCTATTGTATTTAGACAGAAGTTCTTTAATCAGCTCACTTTCTGTCAAGCACATTCTTGGTTCAGTTCCATTCCAGTAGATAAACCTCTTTCCTGATCACAAAATTACGCGTAAGAATAAGGTGACGGCAGCCAAGTGGTTATAATCCGGTAAACTGAAATTTAGAGATATAGAAGTATTACCATAGAACTTGGACCAGACGACGAAATGGGGAAGGAGACGTCCGACTATGTCGTGGCTGATAGAATCCATGTCCTGGGAGGTGGATTTCGAAACTAAGGAAGCCATGTCCATGATGTTTCCTAGAAGAAAGCGGGGTTTCGGGCCACGAACTCCTTGTTTTTCCATTATTTTCTGGATGCGTCTTGGTGTTAGCCAGTAAAATGATAAAGTTTCATAAGCAACTTTGGAGAAGAAATACACAGATATCACGACTATTGCCAAAACCACCACCATAGCCATCCTACAAACCTTTTACCCTCGTAAAAACACAAGAAACACAGTGAGAGACAGTATCTATATAGAGTGAGAGAAGAGTGGTTTGATTTTGGTCGCAGGAAACTCCAAATTTATAGTGTCAATGATATGAGCACCATTAGAAAAAATTCAAGATTAATGGGGATGTTCTTAATTAAGATTTTGATGGATTTTAAAATATTATAAATCCGAATGAATTTCATGAATTTAAATAGATTTTCACAAATTTCATAAGAATAATAAGAATTTCATCAAATATGTTTTAATTCATCCAAATCTTTTGAAATTCCTCTATTAATGATATTTTTATAAAGGATAAATCTAATTGTACATAATTTTTCATTCATAAAGGTGTCCATACTCTCACATGAGGTGGGATCAAATTGAATAAAATATTTGAGCGGGTTCCACCCATGTGAGTGTATGGACACCTTTATGGATGAAAAATTATGTATAACTCATACAACTCTTTTATAAATCCACTAGTTATTTAGGATATTTAGAGGGTGTATTCAATTGAGATTTTTAATGACTTTTTAGGATTTTAAAAGTTTAGGGGTATTCAATGTAAACTTTTTGAGACTCTCTAAAAGTATTGATATATTCAATCAAGACTTTTCTAGACTTTTAAGAAGTCTCTAAAAGTTACGGTATATTCAATTGAGACTTTTATAAACTTTAAAAAGTCTCTAAAAGTTACGGTGTATTCAATTGAAACTTTTGTAAACTTTTAAAAAGTCTCTAAAAATTACGATGCATTCAATTAAAATATTTTCAAAATCTCTTTAAGTTTTGGGGTATTCAAATTTTAATAACTTCTCGAGACTTTTATAAAAGTCTCTGAAGTGCTGACTTTTAAACAGAAAATACTCATAAAATTTCAAAATTTGTCTATCATTAATTACAATATTTTAGGAGACTTTCACAATATATATATGATTAAAATTTATTTTTTTAATTGATTTCCATTTATCTTATGATTAAAGATAAGGTAATTGACACAAAACGTCCCTACTTATCGAGTTGATTGTGGAAAACGTCCATATCTTTTATTTTTTGACATTTTTGCTCCTATTTTCACATTTCTTTGCGTTGAACGTCCTTTTTATCTATTTTTGACGTAAAATGATCAAAATACCCTTCTATTTAACCCAAAAAAATTGCGACAATAGACCCAAATTTTTAAAAAGTGCAAATGAGTCCAAATTTGAAAAAAAAATGGTCACCTTCCTCACCCCACCCCCACTCCACTGCCCCTGTGATTAATTTAAAAGTCCCATTAAAACAATACTCTCTATTTACCAGTCCTTAAATGGCAGGTTCTCTCTCATCTTCATTGCTTCTCTCTCTCAATGACTTCATTTTTCAAACTTTTTCCCTTATCCCAATCTCTAATTATGACTGATCTAGCTCTAGCCTTCGATATTAGAAACCCACATCAAATAGCAGCACCGTCGATGGTGCCACCGCCGTCGCAGCTTCCTTAGTCTAATGCTAACTCATCGGCGAAATTTGACTTAGCTGATTTGGGCAGTGGAGGAGAGGGCGGTAGTGGCGGGGGATCCGAGGCTGGAGATGAATCGGTACGGAAGTTGAAGAGACTGCGACTCGTGTGGACGCCGCAACTGCACAAGAGGTTTGTGGATGCTGTGGCCCATTTGGGAATAAAAATGCTATCCCCAAGACCATAATGCAGCTCATGAGTGTGGATGGACTCACTAGAGAAAATGTTTCTAGTCATTTGCTTTTGTATAGGCTCTATTTGAAGTGAATGCAGGGAATTTCGAGTAAAGGTGGCAGTGTTGGTGGAAATAATTCTCCAGCAGCACCAACGTATTATTTTAGTGGGACTTTTAAATTAATCATAGGGGCGGTGGAGTGGGGGTGAGGAAGTTGACCATTTTTCTCAAATTTGGACTCATTTGCATTTTTTAAAAATATGGGTCTATGGTTGCAATTTTTTTTGTTTTGTTTAAATAGGAGGGTATTTTGATCATTTTATGTCAAAAATTGGTAAAAAAAAAAAA